CAGAGGAATACAGATTGCAGAGGAATACAGGTTGACGCTTCAGACAGTGTTAAGAATTTCGAACATTTTTCTCTAGATGGTGGGAAACGAGTGATATATTTGAGAGCATTAAAGCAGAGTAGTGCCTCAGTTTCCACTGCAACCCATCACTTTGGCAGCCGCGAGTAGTGGATTGAGTGGGGACAAGAATAGCCACGGAGAGACAAGTTTGAAGGTGCTGATGGAGCCCTAAGGAAGGTGACATTTGTCTGCATTGCGGGGGACGATGGCTGTGGGCGAGGGGAGAGCAGGGCCTTGAGGTCTCTTGAGAATCAGAGTAGATGGCTTTGATGTTGAAGTAAAATCATCCAGGTGTTTATTAGGTCATTTGGGTGCATAGTGATGCCAGTTACTGAAGCCAGGAATGGCAGCTGTGGAGCAGATTTGAGAGAGAATAGCTCTCCCAAGGGGTGCTTTGAGCAGAATATTTTTATTCCGGACGCCTGGTGGTCTAAGGACTTCCCTAGATGGCTCTTGTTTAGCAACCTTTAGCTACACCTTCACTTACATCTCACAGGGTGTGATATGTCTATTTTGGTGGATTACCAGCTGGCATTCTGGTAAAGACAAAGTTGGTAAAGCCTGATTTTGTTGATAGCTCCAAATAGCCTTTTACAGGCTACGTTGTAAAAAAAAAAAAAAAAATCTCAAAAAAATTAGTTTGCTAAGCATTTTGGTACTTAGGGCTGGAGCAATTGCACAGCGGGTAGGGAGTTTGCCTTGCATGAGGCCGACCCGGGTTTGATTTCCTCCGACCCTCTCGGAGAGCCCAGCAAGCTACCGAGAATACCCTGCCCCTGGCAGAGCCTGGCAAGCTCCCTGTGGCGTATTGAATATGCCAGAAACAGTAACAAGTTCTCAAAATGGAGATGTTAGTGGTGCCCGCTCGAGGAAATCGTGAACAACAGGAGGACAGTGCTACAGTGCTACAGTGTTTGGTATGATATGTGAAAAATATTATTAGTCTTGGAGTCAGTTTTCCCATTTAGGTACCCTTTTTACCTAACCAGAAATATCAACAGAATTTGTATGATCATCTTAGAAACAGTGACATGCCAAGAAAAATCAAACAACAGTGAAGTCGGATAAGGCACATTGATAGTTGAGATATTATGCAACCATTAAAAGTTAAATAACAGCAGAGATAGTACAGGGGTCAGAGTGCATATCAGGCAAACACCCAACTCGGGGTCAACCCCTGGCACCACCAGGCTGGCCTATTTGTTCCTACAAGGTCTGAGCAGCATCCTGTTCTCCGACCACTGAAATGGACCCTGGTACACCTTGGTTCTAAAATATTTTTAGATTTTTGAAACTGAAACATAAAAACCAAATATTTAAATACATGTTATAGTAGACATACCTTTTATATGTAAAACCTTATTTTTAAGAATGTTTTTATGTTAACAGTCAGGCTGTAGATCTGACAGAGATCAAAGGCAGGGAGAAGTATAGAGTGAAACATGGAAGAGAGCAGAAAGATGGGAGAATCTGAAGTGGTGTAAAATGAGATGGAAGAAATGATTTTTGTTCCTTGCACTGTGTTAGACCTTGGAAACGCACCACTGTTGTAGCTACTGGCTCCTGTGGGCCAAATAGTTCTGGGCAGGGGGGCACAGAAGGGATGTCATGGGGGGGTAGAGCATATGGTGCTGAGGATGGATGCCTTTGGGGGCCTGATGGCAGCAGTGCTCAGGAGGAAGGGCTACTGATTGGGTGGCGGGAGGTTGGGATTGACCGTGTTCTTGACCCCATATCTTTGCCCTTGTCTTTCACTCTCCTCAGACCCACTGTCCTGCCCAATTCCTCCATAGCAGAGACTCCCAAAATTGATGGACTTTTCGCCTCCTTTTCAGAATAAAAATCCGTCAGCACCCCTCACTTGCTCCCAAGGCTACGCTAAAAAGTATCACTTTCCTCATCCCTTTTCCATTCCCAACACTTACTAAAGTTGAAACAAATCTCATTAATTTTGCATTATATCACCCTGTTTTCTCAGATGAAAGGTGGCATAAATGTAGATGTCTATTCTCTTCTTTGGTATTTGATCATTTCACAAAATAGTGTTTTTCTAAAAGCACTCTATGTTCTTCCAGGAGATTCTGATTTTCAAAACTACACAGTACTCAGGATACATATACCAGAGTTGATTCACCCACTCAGTTGTGTGGCCATTTCCGTTGTCTCTAATATTTTGAAGTGTTAAACAGTGCTGAAATGAACAGGTTTTTTGCATGCATATTTTTGCATTATTTGATGGGAAGAGGAACAATATGTTTAAATTCCTCAAGGTAAGATTACTGGATTGAAAGCCAAGTGCGTATGCAGTTTTGTTGGAAATGACCTCCATTTCATTGGTTTATATTCTCATCAGCAGTGTATTTGTTTATTTTTTTTGTGGTCTTTGAGTCACACCAAGTAGTGCTGGAAGTCTGCTGCCAACTTGGTGCTTTGGGGTTGCTCTTGAAGGTGCTTGGGTCCCCTTGGTGCCAGAGATTCAATCTGGGCCTCCCACAGGCAACACACGTGCTCTAGTCTTTTGAGCTCTCTCCATAGTCGGGGAATCACACATTTTTAACTTTCCAGCCAAGAATTTTGATAGTGACCTATACCAGGATGATGGCTGCAGAGGAGGTGAGAAGGACCTAGACTCTAGATATAATTTCCAGGAAAAGCTAGTTCCATCTATGTAAGAGGTTGCTTAGGAAGCCAACGCAGCCAATGCAGCAACTTTCTTGAATGTACTTTCTCGGTTCTTTGGAGGAAGAGAAACTATAAAAGGGACAACTTAACCTAGAGAGGATGCAAATTACTTCCACAGATTTTGCATTCAGAACTTGCTTGGAAGTGGGAGAGGAGGGGAGGGGAGGGGAGGGGTGGGGGAGGGGCCTGCCATTAGGTGAGGAGGGGGCATCACAGCTAGGGTTCAGTGGCTGTCTAGGAGCTCATCAGTCCGTCCCATAGCTAAAACCAGTCTCAGGTCCTACATGTAAGAAGGATCAGTAAATGGGGTCTCACGGGTCAGCCTCTTTCCAGGGACCACTGTTAAGATGCTGGGAGGGGTGGGGTAGGGACTAAGAATTTAGGCAGGTGATTAGCTGTTTCACAGAGTCGAGCTTTGGGTACTGTGGGAAGAAACAATATGCACAGATACTGAAGGACAATACCTGTTTTTCTAAATTGGTATAGTCAAGGAATAGCAAAGAAAGAAGATGAGTTACACAGAAGAAATATATGTTTAGTTTGGAAGTCCTGCATAAGGATAGCAGAGGAGTTCCAAGCAACGAGATTTGTGAATGAGAACCCTGGAAATGACTGATTGCTGTATTTTCACTAATCTGCTCCCTCCTTCCTTCCACAGACAGAATTGCGCCTGGTCTGTGTGAGGGAATGGGGTGCTTGGGGGACCCTGGGGGGAGACAGTGTGGGAGGAAGAAAGAGGCACCATGGGGGTGATGCTGTGTGCTCCGGGGCAATGGGGTGGGCTTCTCCTATTGACGGGAGTGTATATGAGCAGGGTGCTGTGAGGAATAGAAGGACACTGTGAAGCGTGACCCACGATTGCAGGGCTTCCCCCCCCCCCCCCACCCTTTGTATCTTGAACCAAACATCTTGAGTTATTTATAAAAGGGAAATGTAGCTAAAAGCTTTTAAAGTGCAGCACTTCATTAGAATCATGAGAATCTAAACAAGAATATTTTTATTCCAACAAATAAACTGTTTTTGGTTCTTTTAAGAATACAAGATTCTTCAGCTTGCTCTTCAAGCCCATGTTCTCCTTGAACACATATCTCACCTGTTTGTCTCGATGTTTCTTTACCTATTTCCACATCCAGAGAAGCCTGTATTCGCTCTTGAACACATATTTCTCTTTCTCCTCACGTCTTCCTAAATAAGTTTCGATAAAAACTATTATGCTTTATATATACACACACACACCCATACACACACATTTGACTTTCAACGGTGTGAGAAATGAGTATCTCATCTAAGTACGTATAAACTTCGTCATCTTTTTGTATGGAAAACGTTATTCTTACTATCAGGATGCACATGTGAGGTATAATGGGACTTTCAGAGAAGAAAATGGGTGCCTGTTTCATAGCCGCGTCTCTAAAGAAGTGCTGACAAGCCACATCTGGACTGCACACCACAGCCCATAGCGCGCATGTGCCCGAGTGGCTTTGCGCACATCCTTGAGGCAGTACCTTTGTCCTCGTCTCACAGTCAATCAAATGAAAGAACATCATTTGCCCAGAATCTATCAACTCCAGTTCTCAAAGAGACAAAATAAATTTGAAACTGTGGGATGGGCATCTTATAATACGCTGATATTCAAGGGGAAAAAAATCTACTGAATTGTTTTGTTAATTTAACTCCACTTTTTTGTCTCTTTGTTGTGGTAGGAGTCGGGAGGCAGCAGTTAAGAAAATATGCTTAGGGGCTGGAGCAATAGTATGGTGGGTAGGGTGTTTGCCTTGTATGCAACTGACCCCGGTTCGATTCCCAGCATCCCATATGGTCCCCTGAGCACTGCCAGGAGTAATTCCTGAGTGCAGAGCCAGGAGTAACCCCTGTGCATCTTCAGGTGTGACCCAAAAAGCAAGAAGAGAAACAAAAGAAAATGTGGTTAATATTCCCCAACAGCACTGTATTTTTTCATTTTTTCCCCCTAGAATTATGTCTGTTGTTGCAGGTCAGTTAATTGCTTTTTTCATTTGCCTTTGGTCTTTATAGTAATTGATTTTACGGTTCATTAAATTTGAAGGAGATGGGCTTAGAGGGTGAAAGTTGTATTTGTAGAGCCACTCGAGTTGACTTCGGGAACTTCCACACTTATTCTTTCAGCAGCATGTTTTGTACACCCAGAACTAACTGCTCTTGCTCCCAGCTCCCTGGCATGTACTCATGTCGTGGATCACACAGCCTCTTTGTGACAACTGTCCTGTATGTTCTCTCAGGTGGGGTGACCGCTCTCTGCTGGGATCCTGTCCAGCGAATCTTGTTCTCCGGCAGCTCAGATCACTCTGTTATCATGTGGGACATCGGTGGAAGGAAAGGAACGGCCATCGAGCTCCAAGGACACAAGTAAGGCTGCTGGTGCTTTATAAACAGGAGGAGAGCATCCGGCGACAGGGAGCACAGGCGCCAGGCGCTGTCCCCGGGGCAGTGTCTCGGCAGGCGCGGGAACTGGGTGGAGAATTGCCTCTATGAGTTACGTATGTTCATAACCGTGTTTATTTATTTATGCCCATTTTATTCCACCAAGGGATTGAGAGTGCTTTCAGAAACCCATAAAATAAAATAATAGCCAGGAAAAAAAGGGAAAAATTGAAATCAGGTTGGAAAACTTTGCGGGGGGGTGGGGGAGAGCTTAAGCCATGAAGGCAATGGAGTGCAAACGTGGCTTCAAGATTCCTGGCAGCTCGGTCGCCTTCTACGGTACATTTTGTATTTCACCAGATATTTATTGAGTGCCCGTGACGTATTCAGTATGCCAAAAACAGTAACAAGAAGTCTCACAATTTGTTGTGAGACTTTACTGGTGCCCACTCAAGCAAATCGATGAACAAGAGGAGGACAGCGACAGTGACTTGCCTGATTATATCAGGCTTTTCTTCCTAAAAGGATGGTGAGATTTCAGGGGCGTTGAAGAAGAGCAAAGGGAGCCTGTTTGGCCCTGGGTCAGATGTAGATCCAGGGAGCTGCTTGTTAGCAGGAACCTGGGCCCTGTAGCCGGGAGCTTTAGCCCTTGTGCTGAAAGTGTCAGCTCCAACCCAATCAGATTGTAAAGAAGGATTCTAGATCTGCTGGACCTCCAAGGCTAATGTGAATTGCTTTTAACTTGCAAAGTGTTCGGAATGATAAGGGTGACTCTGGACAGCCTTAAGTAAATGTCAGGGTGCTCCTCTGAACTCCCTTTAAGCCACTTGAGCTTTTCTTAGAATTCTGCCTGAAACACTGATCTTAAAATACACTCCTAAGTGGTTAAGTTTGCCCTGAGCATATAGTTCAGGATTACTGGATAGGAACTCCAGTTAGACGATCTGCATCCAAGTCATTATTTCAGTGTTAGAGTTCAGTTTTAGAGGTGTGAGATTAAGCCCATCAGTGGGCAGACCAGCTCTCGGGGCCACCCCTGGCCTACTCAGATGTATCAGCTTCAGAGCGAAGTTGTTCCCATGTGTGTATCTCCATTAGAAGGGGCCATGCATGGAGATCCTGTGGAAGCAGTTGACATCATTCCTCTAGGTGAAGAGAAGCCAGCCACAGCCCTATTGAATAACACGTAGCTATCACCTGATCTGCCTGCCAAGTATTCCTGCCACTTCAGACTCCCAGAAATAAATTGAAGGGTTTTGTTTTGTTTTTGTTTTTGTTTCTTTCGGAGGTGTTTTGTCTGTTGGTTTTTTGTTTTTTTTTGGGTCACACCTGGCGATGCTTAGGGGTTACTTCTGACTCTGTACTCAGGAATTACTCCTGGTGGTGCTCAGGAATTACTGCACTCAGGAATTACTCCTGGTGGTGCTCCTAAGGGATGCTGGGGATCGAATCTGGGTCAGCTGTGGGCAAGGCAAACGCAGCACTACGCACTATATACTATTGTTCCAGTCCCAAATCAGAGGTGTTGAATGAAGATCAGTGGTTTGTTGGACTCATCAGCCTTGCAGGACGTGTTGACCACTAGGTGGTAACGTGTCAGCAGTCCACGTGCCAGGGCCCCGGCTCTCACACAAAATGTTTTTCCTGGGAAACTTGAGCCTACAGTTTGGTGCAAGTGTCTCACCTCTTGCTTTGGAAGAAAGGAAAAGCTGTAAGGGTGACGAGCCAGAGAGATAGAATAGGGCTTAAGGTGCTTCGTCTTGCTGGCAGCAGACTCAGTTTTTGAACCCCAGAACCACATAGGGTCCTCCGAGCATTTTCAGGAGTGATCCCCGAGTATAGAAGCAGGAATAAGTCCTGAGCACTGCCCAGAAATAAAATCCAAAAAGAAAACAAGCTATAAAGTTGAGATAAAAGCCTCTCAGTCCCAGAGAAATGAAAACTAAACTAATAGACCTGTCAGCTTCTAAGAAATACAAACATGATCTTTGAGAAAACAGAACAGACTGTACCATCCTGATAGGATCACCCTCTTAAAAGTCAGGGGCGGGAGACTCGTGAATTAGGAGCCTCCGGCCAGAAGTGGCGGCTTTATAGAGACATCAGAGCAGAAGGTCTCTGCCGGACCCTTTATTTAATTCAAGTTCAGTAATGAACGCCAAGAGGCCTCCTTGCCACCAGGGCGGGCCGGGCGGTAATGGTGTCACACAGCCACGGGGAGGAAACATCCTTTCAGCCGGTGTCACCGTCAGAGTGGGGGGGAATTTCCTGGCGTGGGGTCCAGGGGGCCGCTGGGGCTGCTCAGAGGAGGAGGATGGGACCAGGCTTCTCCACAGGACAGGAAATGACCGAGAGCCCTCCATCTTGGCTACCATTTCTTTGCCTGAAAATTGGCCACTGCTTGGTTCTTGGATTTGCCTGTGACTCTGTCAGAAGTTTGTCAGACACAGATACCTCTACTTCATCTTACAGAGTCTGAGGGTAGAGGGTAGAGGTCTGAAGTCATTTTTAGATGAAAAGTTTGAGATGTCCATTCTCGAAGACCCCCCTGGTGGCTGAGGAGTCTAGACACCTCAGTCAGAACAGCAGAGATAGTTTTGTGTCTGTCAAAGCCCCTGCGGATGAGGTATGCAGAGATGCGTGTGACTAATACATGCAGATCCTCCCCACCTCCACCCAGGATGCTCCTACTTCTTTTTCTTTTTTTGTCTTGTTTGTTTGTGATGTGGCCACTCCCCACTGTGTTCAGGACTACTCCTGGATCCATGCTCACTCCTGGTGGGGCTCAGGGGACCATGTTAGCGATGCTGGAGATCCAACCTGGGTCAGTCTTGTGCAAGCAAGCACCTTAGCCTCTGTACTTACTCTCCAGCCGGATGGTCCTACTTCTTTTGTGTGTCAGAAGCCAGACTTTCTCCTTGGAGCTGGAGGCTGCCAGTCAGTTCTCCTCCAGTCCCCGGTTACCCATTCGCCCAGGTAACATAGCAGTCAGAGTTCCCAGTCAGGGACCAAATTAGTGAGCTTGGGAGTTGAGCCAAACATCACTCTGCCCTCCAGGGTGAGGAGGCCACATTTCCTGGTGTGGATATGTCCCTCTGTAATCTGGATGGACAGTTCTCCATCTTCTCTCCCAAGTTTTGAAACTTCCTACTCTCTGTCACCATCAGAAATGGGACATTTTGGGTTTTGTTTTGTTTTGTTTTTGCTTTTTTGGGTCACACCCGGCGATGCACAGGGCTTACTCCTGGCTCTGCACTCAGGAGTTACTCCTGGCGGTGCTCGGCGGACCAGATGGGATGCTGGGAATAGAACATGGTTGGCCATGTGCAAGGCAAACGCCCTACCCGCTGTGCTATCGCTCCAGCCCCAGAAATGAGACATTTTAAAAATTTATTTGATTTGGTAAAAACCCAAAGCAGAGAAAGCGTTAATCATAGGGCAAAAATGACTGTGACAGCAAAGTGGTTCCATGTGTAAGGAAATAATTCTAAGAGAGTATGCTTCTCTCCACGACCATTTGCATTTAAGGATTTTGAGTTTTGTATTCCCTGCAGCAAGTGGAGCATGATTATGTGCTAGTTTGGTGAAAAAGAAAAGCAAAGAAAAGGTTCTGATTTCAGGGGCCACTTAGGGTTTTCAAGTATCAGTTATCAGTTTATTGGCCATTGCTGCAGCATAAATGTGGGCATTTATTGTCCCAGGCCCACCCTGATAACTCCAATAATGGTACTTGGGCATTTTAGATCCTTTTTTATCCTTAGATAATACCTATCATTTCATGACCAACTTTATGACTATAATTTTTCCTTCTAATAGTGTTTTCTTGAGCTTCTAGGACTTTCTGACAATTTCTTTTAATGGCAGCTCCATGAGTAGCTCAGGTGCAAGTCGCTGATCCCTGCTGGCGGTCCCTCATGGGGGGTGGGCCACACAGGCAGGCCTGAGGCTCAGTTCCCGGCATGGCTCTGATCTGTGTCCTTCTTTCTCAGTCCCAGCTCCCGCATCCCCCCTCCTGGCTAGACTTTTGTTGTCAAGCCTCAAACCCTTGTGGTAAAGAAACTGGCTTTTCTTACACAAATATACAGTGGGAGGCTTGGTGTCTGTGAACTGCAAGCAAAGTTCTGACAGGAAGCAGAATTCCTAAATTAGGTTAAGAATGAGGCTTCACAGTCTTTGGACTTTCTCTCTGCCTCAGTCTGGGCCTAAAAGCAGCTCTCACGCTGGGACTATTGGCATATTTAGGCTAAAAGAGAATTGTCATTTTTTTTCTTTCTAATTTAGCTAAACAGAGGACATTTATAATTTGAAATTAGATTTATAATTAGAAATTAGATTGAATAAATAGAAATTATTTCTATATAATTATGGAAGTCTAGTCCAGACTGCAGGGCTATATTGCCTGGTCATTGTTTTGCCCTCCCAGAAGGCCACACGATGTCTGCATCGGCGACTCTCCTGCAGCCCACGTCACCTCTTTGATTCTCAGTTTCCTCATCTCCACAGTTGATTGTGGAAAGAAAAACTCATAAGGTTGTCAAAAAATAAAAAAATAAGAGAATATGTATATAAAAACAAGTGCTACTGGGGAAAGCTGTTCAACGTATTTTATTTATTTATTTATTTATTTTTACTCTTTGGGTCACACCCAGCGATGCACAGAGGTTAGTCTTGGCTCATGCACTCAGGAATTACTCCTGGCAGTGCTGGGGGACCATATGGGATGCTGGGAATCGAACCCGGGTTAGCCATGTGCAAGGCAAACAAACGCCCTTCCCACTGTGCTATTGCTCCAGCCCGAAAGTCTTTACATTTATTAGAAATAAAAATTGTATCATTGGAACCCAGGTATTTAGACATGAGTGCTGTTTCTTTCTGATCAGAGCACTTCCACGGGGCCACGTCCGCCCAGCCCCTCCTCACAGTTCATTCCTTCAGTATTGGCTGCACCCGCCAATGTGGGCGACTCCATGTCAGGCACGAGGGGC